TGAAGGTGGAAGAACTGGAGCAGATTCAGTGCCCAATTTCAACACTTCTCTTTTTCTTCCCAACCACGAATGCTCTGTATTGTCAGCGTCTGAAAATGCCTATTTAAATCCTGCTCCAAGTTTCCATTGTTCCTAATGAACCAGAAGCTTTTGATGCCATTGTTGATACATCTGCCCTGCAAGAGCAAAGGCGCACAATGGGTATCCAGCCTCTGAAGACAATGGCAATAAAAGAGACAGCTCAGAAAGTTTGGAACACAAGATTCTGATAATTTCAGAAATGGCATTGGGGTAGTCCAGTGATGACGAACCTTTTGGGCCCCGAGTGCCCAAAGCATGTGCGCACATGCACATACCCAAAATGCAAGGCATGGGCCCCTCACATGCACAGCCCCCCCACATGTGTGTGGCCCTCCACACATGTGTGTGCCCCCCATGCATGTGTGCACCCCACACACATGTGCCCCCATGCATGCACCCCACCATGCACCCCGCTCCCATGCATATGTGGCAGAGGCCTGAAGGCTAGCTGACTGGTGGAAGGTGCGTGCGCATGTACGGTTGAGCTAAGCTGAGGCGATGGCGTGCGTGCCCACAGACAGGGCTTTGCGTGCCATCTGTGGTATGCGTGCCATAGGTTTGCCACCACAGGGATAGTCTCTTCCCTTTGCTCTGGTGCATTGGTCCCTGGAATGTCCTTGCCTATGAGGAAATCTAGCAGATACCAGTGGTGCCCAGTAAAATAGAGGCAAGGCTGGAGCTTCTGACTAGGCCTCTGGATGATCTCAACTTTGGAATGTTGTTTTGACAACACTAAAACTAGAAAGCATGGATGAAGAAAGGCCAGGCCCCTTTCCCACTCCCAAGAGCTATTTGGTTTACACACTGCCAAGCTATGCTTTGTTTATCATTTTTTAATGAAATTATCATTAGCCAGATTCACTCCACATGCTAAACCAAAGCCATATAAACCCTGTTGTGCCTTAGTAAGGATGCAGCCAATTTATTTGTTCCTCTGTTTATGGGAGAGGCAATTGTTCAAACAGAGTCACTGGCAACAGGATGGTTAACCCCCATATACTCTGAATGCCTATCAGGTTGCTGTCAAATTCCATCAGGGTTGCACAGTGTTGCCTCTGAGCACATTAGCAAACATTATGGCTTGAGGAAGAGGTTTTGTATAGCGCTAGAATTAAACAGACAGCGTGGTGTTTGCCAGAATTAGAATTCCAAGCCCTTAAGGTTTCTTAGACTTTGAGGCACCCAGCCAAATCAGCTCAGGGGCAATGAGGAATAAGTGATCCATTGCATTTCTGGCCAGAACACTCTCCCCCAATTCTCCAGCCATGACCCTTATTTGCAAAAAGCATCTCTACCAGCATCTCTACCAGGTCTTTATAATTTCTGTATTTTATTGCAGGTGGTACGTGATCAGATCTCTCACTGCACAGTGAAGCTGCGCCAGACCACGGGGCTGATGGAATACTGTCTGGAGGTCATCAAAGAGAATGACCCCAGTGGATTCTTGCAGGTGACTGCTTGATTTTTCTTTTTCTTTTTTTCCCAGTTAAGGAAGTATGGATTGGCTCTTCTCACGGCTTCGCCCACTGTGAGCTGAGTAACATGTTGTGATGTTTCAAAAGGGCCCATTCCATGATGTCACAACAATTTTCCAAGGAATAGAATGGAAACTAATCAGTCCATGGTTGGGATTGTGCTGTGATCCTCTCATCCAAAATTTGTTGAGGCAAGAATATATGAAAGTAGGGGAAGGCTATGTTATTCAGGGTCTTTTGACAAAATAGCTTTAATGCATCTCCCTGTGATGACCCAGGGCATGGCACAAAGGCAACACAGTCACATAAGTAAGAAGAGTCCCTTTAGTACCTCCAATTTTGCCCCAATATCCAGGTTACCTTCGGCTGGAGAAAAAAACTCTCCCAAGAACAGTCTTTAAGTGGAGGAAATTCAGTCCTCCAAGAAAGTACATACAAACTGTAAATAAAAATCCACACAAACCACGCTGCAGTAATTAACTTGACAGGGCAGGAGAAGGAATTGCAGACTTGAAAGGCTAACAAAACACACAGTTGGGAAGACGCCAGGAACCCAGATAAGCCTCGTCAATACCAGATAATTCACTATTTGCTCTCAACAGTTTTCTGTGCGCAACTTCCCTTTTTAAACACTGTTCCCAGCTGCAGCTAATGAAAGGAATCAGGGCCCTTTCCTTCCCTGTAAACCATGCAACTCACATTGCTCCCTTCTCTGTTCCTCCCTGCATTCCCTAGGATGAAGAAGAGGTGGGCCTGGATCTGCCTCTGAATTCTCTGCCTTGCTCTACCTCTCCCCTGCTCTGCTCAGCCAGACTTTGCCCTTCCCCAGTTTCTTCCACAGCCAACAGAGCCACACTCCCACTCCCTGTCAGCTGCTTGGCCTCCCCCTCTGAATCCGATTCTGACAGGGGCATGACACTCCCCAAACACCTAAACCCATTTCCCATTGAATCCAATGAAAGTCATTACAATCCCACCCTTATTTGCCTCTCCCTGCCTGGATTAATTTTCTATCTTACAAGAAGTTAGATTCAGGAACATAAATTATTTAAAGGGATAAATACATTGAGAACAGAAATAACAATGGAGTTGACTTGAGAAAATAAGCTATTTAGTCTTTTTAAGTATTTAGGACATTCTGTCAAGAACTAGGCAGAATTAAAGCCACCTTTTTACACGGGTCATGATAGAAAAGGAGTACAGCTTCAATTGCATAATTAGGGTCACCATTTTGACTTTTTTGACTCCTTCTTGGGAGATCACCCTGTTCTTTCCTCCTTGGAGTTTAGACAAATGAATAAAATCCCTCTCTATAAATACTTTGGTGAGTGTTGCTATGGAAATTCTCAGTCAACCAGGTCATGATTGTCCAAAAGATGCTCTTTAAAAAAAAAAAAAGTCTTTCAAAATTTTCTGTTTTTTTTTTGAAGACATTTCTCTTCTCATCCAAGAAGCTTCTTCAGTTTCTTGGAGAGTGTTGCATATCAGTAGATAATCTTTGGATGATTTGATCAGTAAACCCTTTGTCAATTTCTCTGACCTCCAGGAACGCAGAAAAGATGCTGAGAGGCTTATATTTCCAGTCCCATTCATGAGAATAAAAGCCCCACAAATTAAAGCCATGATGGCATCATGAGGGTCTATATCAGGGGTGGGCAAACTTTTTGGCTCGGGGGCCTCATTGACTTTTAAAATTTGACAGACGGGCCGCCACCTGGTGTCAAAATGTCTGTCATTACAAGTCAAAATCAAATGAATGCAATCATTCAATCATTCACATCAAACCTTAATTCTGTACCAATCTTTGGCGGGCCGGATTAAAAAGACCAACGGGCCGGATGTGGCCCGCGGGCCGTAGTTTGCCCACCCCTGGTCTATATCAATCCTTTTTAGGTTCTTTCCCTCTCCCCCCAATGTGACTGGTGGTAAGGGTGAAAAACAAAATGGCCATATAGATCTTATTCTCAGTTATGGACAGAATGAACAACATAGGAAAAAGTGGTTGAGTGTAGGGAGTCCATTTGCACCCCCTACCCCTCCCCTCAAAAGTTTGGTTCTATATATGGCTAAACAAAGATCCTCAAGTCATCCCAAAAGTGCTTTTTAAAAGGAAAGTGCTTCTCCAGGAAAGTCCAGTTGCCTTTTGAAAAGCACCTTTGGGACAACCATGACCAATGTCCACAATGATAGAGAATCTCCATAGACATTAAGATCCCCACAGTTAATTAGCTATGTCATCACCCTATTAAATGATCTCATGTATGGGAATGAAGGTGTCACTGTATCTCTACCTGGCACAAGTATACGTGGTCACTACTGTACTGATTGACTGACTGATTTCAAGCTAAGTCCTTGATGAACTTTCTTGAAGCAACAGGTTCTTAAAGTTTAATCCCTTTTAGTGAAATTAACATTTCCCCCAGTGAGTTAACATGATCCCAAAAAATATTGGAATTGTTAGGTTTTACATTAATTTCATATATGAACAACAACACTGTGTATGCCTTTGTCATCAGTGTCACTTTCCAATACATAAAACTGCATATTATGTAGAACAGGGGTGTCAAACTCAAGGCCCAGGGGCTAGATCTGGCCTGCGGGATACTTAGATCTGGCCCATGGAGCCACCCTGCAAACAGCAAAGGACTGGCCCCTCTGCTTCTACCATCAAAAACAGAGCTCGGGAGGGCCAGATGCAGGGGGCTGTCATAGCCAAAATGGAGGTTGGGAGCCCATTTTCACTGGCAGAACTCTTGGGCCACCACAGGCGCCCCCGACACAAATGACATCAAGCTGGCCATGCCCACTCCGGCCACACCCACCCTGGCCCCCCAAGATCAAACATAACCCTGACGTGGCTCTCAATGAAATTGAGTTTGACATCCCTGATGTAGAATGTAATCAGCTTCAATAATATCTGACCCATCATAGGTCGGTTATCAGGGGATAATGGGAATTGTAATGCATTGTTTCCCCTTAAGGCAGGGGTGTCAAACTCACATTGTCATGGCGGCATCATGCAACATATCAGGACTTTCCTTCCCATTGCTAAACTGGGCATGGCCAGCACGTGAAGCATCTGCTCCTTGGGCCAAGAGTTTGAGAGACCAGCCTTAGAGGGATAAGCAACACTCATATTTATTTGTTCCATTAATAGGGGCACCTAACTGAGTATTCAAATTCTCCATTTAGGCTTAGGTGCAATCAAGAACATACTGAGATTCAAAATGGGTTTTGCATTATCTATTGAGGTTTATGAGCCATGGTGGTGCAGTGGTTAGGATGCATTATTGCAGGCTAACTCATTGCTCACTGCCAGGAGTTCAATTTTGACTGGTTCAAGGTTGACTCAGCCTTCCATCCTTCTGAGGTTGGTAAAATGAGGACCCAGATTGTTGGGAGCAATATGTTGACTCTGCTTAGAGAGGTCTGTAAAGCACTATGAAGCAATATATAAATCTAAGTGTTATTGCTATTATCCTCCCAAGCTATTCTTCTCACAGAGATCTATGCATAATCATATTGATTCTTGGATTTTGCTTCTCAACAGATTTCTGATGCACTGATACGAAGGGTGCACCTGACTGAGGATCAGTGGGGGAAAGGGACACTCTCTCCAAGGATGACCACAGATTTCGACCTCAACCTTGATAGTGCCCCTTTGTTGCAGTCCATCCACCAACTTGACTTCATGCAAATGAAATGTAAATGCATTTATCTGTGTGCTTTCAAAATGGCTATTGACTTAAAGTACTACCCAAAGCTATCTTAAATATCCATATAATTAAATATATATTAAAATAATGAAGGTTCTACAGATTTAAATAGAGTGAAAAGGAGAAAGAATTATGTCTTAGTCTCACACGTTCTTGGCCTCATCCCATCTGTCTAATCTGGATTCCAAATCCAATGTTTGTCTATCAGTATCCTTCATTCCGTTCTCAGAAGGAAATTAGGCAGGCCCTGGGCTACCAGAAACACAATGGAGGATGTATGGCCAATAGATGTGAATTTTTTCTGCTTTACATAACTATAATTATATAAACTATATACATATTACATACCTGTAATATTATGTAAATATTACATATTTAGATAATATGTAATATGTGGGGTGGGATGGGATGGGGTTGCATCAGTCCTAATTCCTGGCAATTAGACAGGCAAGTCTACCTAGAACTTCTTTCTAGGTAGACATTTTGGAAATTATTCACCACTGCCTTTTTCCTAAGATCAAAGTGACTTGAGACAGGGCTAGAACTCAGGTCTTCTTACTTCTAATCCAATGGCTTAACCACTAGATCAAACAATTTCTGTAATATATGAATAGGGTTTATGTATTAGATACATCAAATCCTCAACAGGACTTGAGGAATGTTTCTCCTTCTAGGATCCAGCTGTGGATGGTCAGAATAAAATAATTGAGTCTAACCTTCCACAGCTGAGACACCCTATTGTGTAAAGGAGTCCAGAGCCCATCCTATGTGGGATTTTGGTTTTTACTTACTTGAGACGAGTGAAGCCAAACTAGTGGCTTACGTATCTTATTTTGGAAACCAATAAGAAACTTCATCATCATTTGAGATCTGCTCTCTTGCTTTCATAGATAATTAATAAAATACATAAATAATTTGGGATTTGCTACTGAATTTTAATGGTGGAATTTTTGGAGAGGTTGGGAACTTTCATCCAAAGTAAAATTGATTACCTCTGAAACTTATTTCCCTTTTGTAACCGATCTTCAAATAAGATTGCAATGGAGTGGCAACATCTTTAAAAGGAAACAGTCCTAGTCTCACCTAACCTCAGGCTTCCCCTGGCAGTCTCCTTTTTGAATATTAATCAGGCCTGCCTTGAGCTTTTTCATCCATTAAGAAACCATTGAGAACAATTCTGAAAGCTCGGAGTTTGGAGATTTTAACAGGATGTGCTTGCTCCTATAAGTCTTATACTGTTGGATGGCTTAATTGTAGTCAACACTCAGTAACCTAGGAAGTGTCACATTCATTAAAAATAATTTCAGTTTTTCAGAATACTAAATGCACATATTTTTCTTCCAAGCTTCTTTCCGACACTGTTGGACATACAAAGTTTTTACCACTCTGAATTCCATTTTTTTCTGATAGGAAGAGAGGAAATATATTACTGGGAATTGTTTATTTGCCAATTCGTGTTTCTGCATCCATATCCTCAATCACATTCTTTCTTTGATCTGATTCTTCTTGGGCTGCCTTTGTACCAGAACACAATGAATCACAATAGGCATGGTTGACAAGTAAAGAAAACATTGAAAACTGTCTTCAAATATGGTTTGAATCAACAATCTAACAATAAAAAATTATCTAAAAAATAAAAGTAGGTTTTAACTGGTTTTCTCAGAATCAACAAACAGGTTTCATAAACTTTCTGAGACTGTTAATTTCTAGATTTGCTCTCAGATTAAAACATTTTAGCTGAGTTGGTGTATGAACCCAAATGATTTAGTTCACAACTTGCTGGCTCATGGAAGTTAGCCTCTTTCTAAACTTCCAAGAGAGGCTTCAGAATGAGATTATTTCATGATGTAGCCTTGTTTAATAAAGGCATTCCAAAATATGATACATAGGCAGAGTTTGCAGCAACACAGAACATCTGTTGATGTTCTCCAGAGGAAGTATTCTCATTGCATACCTTTGCTATTGGGTGAAATATTCTTGGATCCTCTCCTCCAGGACCAAGCTAACTCTTGCAGAATCCAGAAGCCGCAGTTTACATCTTGGCTGGAGGTAGAAGTCGGGGTTACACTAATTTCTGTTTAGCTTCCTCCCCAGTGCCAGCCCCACCAATCCTTCAACTGGAAGAATGTTGTACCCATAACAACAGTGCCACATTGTCATGGAAGCAGCCACCTCTGTCCACAGTGCAGGCGGAAGGATACATCTTGGAACTGGATGATGGGAATGGTGGTCAGTTCAGGGTAAGCAATTGATAAAGAAAAGTGAGGTGAGTGTGGAAAGGAATTTGGCTACTTGATGAACAAACCCAATTGAACTATGTTTGAGCTGGAGCTCCAAGTGTCACCCTTTTTCCTGGAAAAATTAGGTCACTCTGATACAGAAATCTAATCCAGCCTTCTGCTCACAATTGTACATTGTACATCTAGCATTCAGAGAGATAGCAGGCCTTAGGGAAGGCTAGTTTTATCCCTTATATTTCCAAATTTAAGAATGACATGTTGGGAAACATGAGAACACCTGCTGCTGTCTGGAAGAATTACTACCAGACAGAGAAATCAGAACTTGACAAATTGGAAAAGAAGTAATTCCCATTACAAGGCAATTTTGTATGTTTCATGTTTAGGAGGTTTACGTTGGGAAGGAGACAATGTGCACTGTGGATGGTCTGCACTTCAACAGCACCTACAGTGCTCGGGTAAAGGCCTTCAACAAGACAGGGGTCAGCCCCTACAGCAAGACATTGGTCCTGCAGACTTCAGAGGGTAAGTTCTGATTGGAAGGCTTTTCAACAGAAGAGAATATATGTAGCTCAGGGTTGGATGGTTGAATCTTTGGTGCTCTCTGAGCTTGGTTGTTTGCTTGCAGATGTTTCATTACCCAGTTAGGTGACATCGACAGTGCAAGTGTGTGTGGGTTTTTGTTTTTTTTAAAGAATCTCAGCACTGCTTGTTTGAATCATATTCTTATTCTATTTGCCAAGTCAGAGTCTCATTTCCTCAACCCCAAAAGTAACAGAGAAAAAAAATGAAAGTTGGTCAAGGGACACTTTTTTGTTTCATTTTTAAATTGCAAAAGGACTTGGGGAAGGGAGTGCATGAATTGGATATGCCAAAATTCATAGAGGGTTTGTGTCTGTATGTGTGCTTGTTTTAATTCTTGGACTTCTTGTTAACTTCTCCCTGGCCTCTTTTGGACCTTGGCAACTTCTTGTGCCTTAGTTTCCATTTACATAATAATAATTCAGTTAATTGCTTGGTATTTGAATTATAAACCTATTGTGTAAGCTACCCAGTCCTCTTCAGTGGGTAACTATAACAAATTAATAAATTAAATGAATATGTTAAGTATACGGTACTCTATGTTAAGAACTCATCAGCTGAAGTATTTCAGTATTGTGTGAAGCAGATTATTATCTTTGCCTTCTATTGTTTAGCCATACAATCGTTTCTATTTAATTACTTAGAAGACATTCCCAAATGTGAATTGTTAAAATATAAAATACTTTAAGGGTTACTCTTTATTAAAACTAAACTTCATTTATATCTGTTCTAAATACAGTATTTACAACTTTGAAAAGATATTTTCCCATTTTCTTCCAGAATAGGATTAAGTCTTATTCTGTAAGCCATGTACAGTCTTTCCATATTATAAGATTCATTTCTCATGTCAAGTCTGGTACTTGCTTTTCTAAAGATGAAGGACACGGTGCATCAATTATATGTCAATATTATGTCTGTCGTATGCTCCATTATTGCTCCATTTTCCCAGTTGTTGATAGCACTAATATGTGGATTTTGCTCCCCTACGCTGTTCTAGTTTGGTTATAAATCAATACAAAATCTATTTTGAAATAGACAGGGCCAGTGGTTTAAAAACAGATAAGATGAACCTGGTAGTATCAGCTATTTCAGGACCTCAGACAGCTCCATGTCTTGCAGACATTGCTCCAGTAGTGCTGTTTGTGAACTAATACTAAATAACTGCTACAATCCTTCAAGTAAAGGGGTGACTAATGTACACAAGGGAGGGCTGTGACATGTAGGCATGAACAATAAATGATTGCCAATGTGGCCACTTGTCTTTAGGTCTCGGCTTTTGTAGTGATTCAAGCTTCTTACAGAAAAGTTTGTGATTTCCTGATAATTTGATTTTTTTTTCCTTTCTGACCTGGGAGATTGAGAAGGGTATCAGAATAGAAATGTCAACCTGCAGCTATCAATAAACCGAACATGTGGAAACTCCTGACAATGAAAGCTGAGCATAAGATTAGATAGTATCTATCGCAAAACTGGATTTTTTCCCCCCTATTCAATTGTGCCAAGTTATTGGACACTTCTCACTGTTTCCTTCCTAGGGTTGAGAGAAAGTGCCTAGCCCAAGATTACCCAGCTGGCTGGATGTTCATTGTGAGACGAGCTTACTGTCTTCCAGTTTCTAGCCTGATGCCTTAACCATTACACCAAACTGGTTTCTCCTGGAAATTATAACTCTGGGAAATTTTATGTGGACTCTAGGAAGCATGCACATTTTGATCAAGGAAAGAGGGATAACTGGACAAGAAATTCAAGTATTCAAGCAACATCTACCCTCAGAATTTAGAGAGGCCATTTGGATATAACTGGAGAAGGCCAATCAAGTAAAGAGCGTCTTTTCCTGAATTGTAGTTTATGAAATTTTCATGGAGCAAAGACTCAGAATGAAACTCAAACTAAAATTTCATTTAGTTGAAATATAGATCTTTAAACAACTAGGTTTGGTCATCAGTCCACTATTGAAAAATGCAATGTTCTCCTCCTGGTTAACAAATCCATTGCTGTTGTATTTACAATGTAAACTTGTGTTTAAAATGCATGTTGTGGGCACTGACTGGGCATTGCGTGTTAAGTGATTGGTGCCTGTATTACAGTCCTTCACTCTACCATCCTCTGCCCTGGTGTAAGGGATCCTGGGACACCTATTTCGGATTATGTTGCACAGAAATTATGTACAGAACATTGATCTGCTTTGTTGGACTGACCTGATCCTACCCTGTACATCTAAAGAATCATTCTTCATACTGCTACAGTTGCTATTATGAGATGTATTGGCTTGGTTAGGACATAGCACCAAGCCTTAATTTTTTTTGATATGGTGTGTTGTGTGAATCTAGCCATTTTAGCTTGTTGAATATACTATGCTTAAAGCAAACCATGGCTTCATGTGAATCCAGATGTTCAACGATTGTGGAGGACTCTTCCCTATCTTTAATATGTTAGTTGCAATAACAGAAGCTTCTTATAGTTCTTTCTAAAGAGATGTGGTAAATGAGTATTGAACAACTTTTGGATAAAAAAGAAATGGAAATTCCCCAAGTAGGCTTTCTTTTTTAAACATAGAAATAGCAGGAACTGGAAAACACACTAGAGATTTGTGTGGAAAGTAGTGGGAGAAACCCCAATGTGCTAGTTAACTTTCCTACCTCGTCTGCAATGTTTTAATATTGGCAGTTCTCGATTTACAATGTAGTTTCACTTGAAACTACACCAGCAATGGAAAAAGTGACTTATGGCCACTCATCACCCTTAGGACCATTACAGCATCCCCATGGTCATGTGATCAAAGTTTGGGTGCTTGGCAATTGGCATTTATTTATGATGGTAGTAGCATCCCTGGTCATGTGATCACCATTTCTGACCTTCCCAGGCAGCTTCCGACAAATCAACGGGAAAGCTGGATTTATTTAATGTCCGCATGATTTACTTAACAACTGCAATGATTTGCTTAACAACAATAGCAAAAAAAAAAGGCTTGACAATGGAAATTCTTGTTCCAATTGCGATCATAAGTTGAGGATTACCTCTACATCCAGGTTAATGTGGGCAGAGTTCTCCTCCTCTTCCGCAGCTGCTCTGTAAGTACTCACTGGGGAGTTGACATTTCATTTTTTTTTGTCCTAGAATTGTGATCTTATTATTTAGAACCGCATTCCCTCCTATCCCACTGCATTGATGCCAATGGCGGTTGTGGTAGCTTGTTGGAAGTATGTCTATGTAAATAGCATACAGTTTCTCAACAGAGTTCTGACCTTGAGTTTGCCTTGATCTTACATTTAGACTCCGAACCTGAGGAGCAGGCCCTGACATTCCCAGTGCCTTTGGAAAGGCTGCCGCTGCGTAGATCAAGTCCTTTCTCTTCCACCCTTAACCTGCAAAACAGCTTTCCGGGGAGATCCTACTTTGAGCTAAGATCCTCGTCCCACCAAATGAGTTTGCACTCCTCTTTACAATCTCTGAATTCGGCCGGTGGGTGAGCCGAGCACGCTTAGCATTGCCTCTTGAGCTGCGCTTCTGGGCATTTTTTTTTTGTTTGTTTGTTTCAGGGTGTGCTTCTTGTTTTGTTGCTATTTTGCTTTCGCTTTCCTTTTTGGATTTTTTTTTTTGAGGGAATCCCCTCTTCCTGCCCCCATCCTGCCCATGACATCCGTTTGAAATGGGACCAAGTGTTCTATGTTGTCGGTGGCCGGCTGCTTTCCACCCGTGAAGAAGACTGATGGTGTAGATGTGTGATATGTTTGTCTCTCTGTGACAAGGTTGTGGTACATTGAAATGCACTAGTGAGCAAGCAAGAAAACCTCTCAGAACTAGTGAAGGAGCTGCTTCTGTCAGGCTGGCTGTAGTAGGCATGGGTCCCTAGTTCACCATTTGCTTTCCACAGAATAAAGAAGCTCCATTTTGCCATCCCCTTTTCCATATCCATATACGTACACATGTGCATATGCAAATTGGCCAGGTGCAAATTACATTTAGAATATATATTGATTCCAAAATGTAAATTAGGCAACTTTGATGGTGGCCAAAAATGTTCCAGATTTCTATTTTGCAGCCCCAGAGTTAGTCCGGGGGGGGGGGACGACTGCTGGGGGTTCGTGGGGTTTCGGGAGAGCCCCTAGCTAAGATTCTGTGCAGTTTGGAGAACCCCCAAATCCTACTCCTGGCTGGCCCGGCCCACCCCACCCCTCCCAGGAATCCCCATGTGGCCCATTTTGGATGTAGGTACATGCAGGGCGCGCATGGAGGCTCGGGGAGGGTGAAAAATGGATCTCCCAGAAGTTCAGGAAGGCCAGAAACGGGGTCGTTTCTGGCTTCCAGAGAGCCTCCGGAGCCCAGGGAGGCCATTTTCTCCCTCTCTGAGGCTTGAGAAAAGCCTCAGGAGCCTGGGGAGGGCAAAAACATCCCCCAGCCATGGTGCAGGAGGCCAACTAGGCCACGCCCACCATGGCCATGCCCACCCAGCAATCGGGCAGAGAACCCCTTGCTAAAAATTTTGAAGCCCACCTCTGAGTTAGTCTAATAAATATTTTAATCTAATAGGGATTTTAGCATTATAGATAACCTTGCTTTGTCTTACTGTGTGGCTTAATTATACGAATGGGTTTAAAGATAACATTTGAGATAAGATGATACCAGATTTATCATTATTGATATCGTACAATGATTATTCATTATTAAGACATTTATTGTAAGGCACATGGACATAGGGACCGAGTTGTTCCGTTTTCCCTCTTTCTGTAGATATTGATATACCTTATCTATGGAACATATTTGAGAAGGCTGCCTTAGGGAAAACTTTACAAGAAGGGCAAGACTTGTTAAATTAGCCTTGCTACTACAACCACCATAAGAATCTGGAGTAGAAAAAAGATGTGGCTTCTATGTCTCCTTGGTTCCCCCCCCCCCCCCCCACACACACAAGGTCAATGAGAATCATTTGTTGTTACAGCTGACATGCAGTCTAGTGGTTAGATTATTTATCTGCACAGACCTGATTCTCAAATTATTTTTATGAGTGCAAGGTTTCATGGGAAGATAGTTTTGGTAGAACTGCATTTGCTGAGTGCTGGGATAACCTGTCTTGATACATTCCCCAAACTACATGTACAAATATTTTTTTAAGAACTATTTTGGCTAAATGCTTAGAGTATGTTTTTTCTCTCTTTTATAAATAGTTGGGGTTGCTAATACAGTACTTTTGGAGGGACCAGAAGATAAGATCCAATGAGATCAAGTATAGTCCACTTTTTATTGGTTAAATTCTGCTGGATTTCATTGTATCCAAAATAGTCCTGTGCACTGGAATGCAGATACATATGTGTTTGTTACTCATACAATTATTAAGTGTTCAGTTATTCCGAAATTCATTCGAATCTTCTTTGAATCTATAAAAGGCTCTTAGAGCCAAGCACAATGTACGCTTGGAAGGAAGAATTCACTTTATGTTCTTACCAAGGGGAAAAACGTCCTTTCTCTATTGCAATGGTTCCCCATAAGTAGTTCCCTGAAGGATACTGCTAGCACTTTTAAAAATATGCATGTTAAATGTAAACCTGAATTAAATCAAAAACATAGTTTCGTCATCAATATCCCCATTTTACATATGAGTAACTAAAAGTCATTTGAAGAAGACACCCAGCATGTTCAGGAATAAGCCAGGTTCTTACTGATGGATTATTATTACAACTTTATTTTATTTATTTATCACATTTCTACATCACCCATCTCACCTAAGTGACTCACAGGTGTAGTAATAAACATGTAATAATAACTATGCTAAGCAATAATACTGTACTAGTAAATGGAAATTATGGTTTACATTTAATGTGTTGTATGAAATAAGTCCATCGTGATTTTTTTCAATTACTTATGGCTTTGCAATTCATGGCAACAATCACAAAATGCTGGAGCAGAAGTTTCTCCAAGATATGCCAGCTTCCCACTGGCCTTGCAGAGACATTCAGGAAAACAAGCCCCAAACACTCTGATTAAGGGGTGATAAATATAGGTGATTGCCTGGAAAGGAAAGTTTAGCTGCCTTTTAAATTTTCCATGTGACAAACTGAAGGAACAGAGAGTGTTTGCATCAGTGAACTTTCAGTCGGGATATTTTTGAACATGATTTTAGTGTCCTTCAGGAAGGCTATCAGACTTGCGTTTTGAAATAAATTAATTGACTGGTCAGAAAGCATGAAGAACATTTGAGGCACCTTCTTCTACTTCATCCAGTTACTCTCTGCCATATTGTTCTTGTCAATTTCACCCCAGTTCTTTTTACATGGCCCCCTTTATACATAATACAGAATAACAGAGTTGGAAGGGACCTTCTAGTCCAACCACCTGCTGAGGCAGGAAACCCTATACCATTTCAGACAAATGGTTGTCTGATCTCTTCTTAAAAACTTCCAGTGTTGGAGCATCCACAACTTCTGGAGGCAAGTTGTTCCACTGATTAATTGTTTTAACTGTCAGGAAATTTCTCCTTAGTTCTAAATTGCTTCTCTTCTTGATTAGTTTCCATCTTTGCTTCTTGTCCTCCCTTCAGGTGTTTGGAGAAGAGCTTGACTCCCTCTTCTTTGTGGCAACCCCTGAGATATTGGAACACGGCTATCATGTCACCCGGTCCTTCTTTACATTAAACTGTATACCAGATGTTAATTGCAAGATGTTGATAAAGTGGAGGTTGCTGCCACATACTTATCCCAAATTGGTATATATTTCAAGGAGATATCAAGGTTGGCAGTGAATGGCCATTGTTCAGCCAACAAGACTAAGAAATTTTCCATAGACTAGGCAAAGTACTGCAATAAAAAGAGATAAAAATATAGTGGTGCAAAAACTCTTCTCAGTAGAGCTAGAAGAAAACCTACAATGCATTCATTGGGCCCAAACCAGCAGAAGTCATCCCTCTTTCCCAGACGTTCTGTGCCAGGGGTGTCAAACGCACATTGTCACATTGGCATCACATGACGTATTGGGACTTTCCCCTCCTTCGCTAAACCAGCCATGGGCGTGGCCAGCACGTGACGCATCCGAGCCATGGCCTGGGAGTTTGACAGCCCTGTTCTATGCAACACAGTACTAACACCCTTTTTTAAAAAATACAGATCTAGCACTCTTTCAAAAAACCCAGTAAACCTGTGTTTAAATACAAGCCCATTACTCTTTGAAAAGCACAAAGCTATGTATTCCGAAGTGTCAGTTGGACATTTTTAGAAAGATACCTCTGTGGAAGCAAGATCTCCAGGATCCGCTCCAGTCCAGATCTAAGTTGGCCATGAAAGGCAATATGCCCCGCATCTGGAGAAACCTAAAATGGCCAATGCAAACTGGGCACATCCCACTCTATGTCTGGGTCATCAACCATATTCTTGAGGAATTGCTGTATATCAAGAGTCTTCAAACTTGGCAAGTTTAAGGCTTGTGGACTTCAACTCCCAGAATTAAGAATTGAGCTAACATGATTGGAGGAGGAATTCTGGGAGTTGAAATCCATAAGTCTTAAAGCTGTCAAGTTTGAAGACCCTGCTGTATATCATGTCCAGAGCAAAAAAAAATGTGAGTAGAAAAGTGGGAAAGCATAATTTTAAACTGGAAATGATACGAAAGCAGCCTAATCAGAATATCTTTAAAAATACATAGGAATCATACTGTAATGCCAAATCCTGTCATTTTTTTAATCTTTAGCAAGGGGATACCCAAGAAGGAATTCTAGATATTGGCTCTGTGCATTATTGGATTTTCCCAGAGGTCTTTAATCTTTTAAGTCAACAGGCACATTTGGAATGTTCAGAATATATTGCAGGGTCTACAACAGTCCTGGCGAGGTGGAGGGTTTTTTCAACACTAAATGACTGTCACAATGTGTGGGACCAGTCATAAAACATGAAAGGCAGGTAGGACAGGAAATCTGGTAGCCCCTAAGGAAAGAGTGTGTGGACAAACTGGATCCACAGTCATACTATTGAAGTTCCCAAGATTATATGGAGCCATCTTATCTTAACGTATGCACTGAGACTTCAGCAAAGTTGAGGTCTCTCTGCAGTTGTGATTAGCTCTACACAATAGCCAGCGTCTTTGCTTTGCTTTTCCTTTCCGTTTTGGATTATCCTATATCACTAGCTTACCCCAATGTCCTTCCTGACATTGTCACAAATCAGAGGCCTCCAAACTTGGCAACTTTAAGACTTGTGGACTTCAACTCAGCATAGCTTGGCTGAGGAATTCTGGGAGTTGAAGTCCACAAGTCTTAAAGGTGCCAAGTTTGGAGACCCCTGTCATAAATGAAGGAACATAGCTCTGACACCTCTGTGCTTTCAAAAGAGGAACGGTGCAGCATTTCAGTTGCTGGCTTACACCAGGGGCCACCCTCTGGCCTTTGTTATCTTTGTTATATTGTTTCCCCATTGTGCTTTTATGGGTTTTGCATCCCATTGCCTTGGCTTTCAACATTTTCATACTTGAATGTTTTGATCTCTCGTCCGGTGTACTAAGCGTTAATGATTCTTTCTGTTTCCCTGTATGTGGAATTTATATATTTTGCAGGAGTCTAACGTTAATGTGGGTACAAAGTTTGGAGGAGATGGGGTTGGAGGGCCTCATTCCCAAATTGAGAATATGTGCTTCTCTTTGTGCTATTTATGGAGGAAATGTACTGTATAATATATGAGTTCACAATTTTCCAAGCTGGTAAAGATTCATAATCGTTTAAAAGTCCTTATGGGATCCTTATAAACAGGGTTGTGTTGCATTTTCCATATTCATGTGCAAAATTCTACCACCACATTTCTAAGCACATATTTATGCAAACTAAATTATGCATACAATTGCTTACTTCTTCATACATTATTGTTTTCAAGTCTAGATGCTCAGGGGGAAAGAGTGATAGAGAAAAAGGTGGAACTCTTTCTAATTCTGCTTTCATTGGAAAAGAAAATTAATGGGGGAGGGGGAGGAAGAGGAGGAAATAAAAGCAGAAATTTCCAATGCAGGTATGTTGAATTCCATACTGTTTCCATACTGCAGCTCATTCCATCAGTTCAGCATCTCATTCCATCATAGGGACATGCCAGATGTTTGGGGAAGCCTTACAAGCAAAGCTTCAGCCATTGGTCATTCTCATTTTCTAGCAACTGATATTTTGGGGTACACTGCCATTGAATGTGGAAATTTCATTTTACATGGCTGAGACTTTCCACTGATGCACTCCATCTTCACTGAACTAAGGAAGCACAATGTGAAGAACAATTGTCTCGGTTTGCTCTGACTCTGCTGCCACTTAGATCCAAAGGCCAACTGGGAATTCTGGATGTCCAAGTTCGCATGCGTCATCCCTAGGCCAACTCCTATGGAAAACAGAGACAGCTCTGTTTTTACATCCGGTCGTCTTCAGCCTTTAGAGTAAACCTGGCCGTTTGCTTGTACAAGAAGTTCCAGGGTTAAGAATGCCCTATTTCAAGGAAGACCCATAGTTAAGAATGGAGCCTATTGTAGCAAAATTAGAGTTAAATACCCAGTGATTCAAGTTAAATACACGGTGGTTAAAGTTCATTACACAATATTATTTTACACAGTATTAAAAATAATGTTGTTCTGGCTTATATACACCTTTAACATAAGGACAGGCCTTGGGAATGGAACCTGTCCTTAAATTGGGGCTACCTGTACACCTGATAAATGCAAGCATCCACTGTTGCTTGCATCTGGTTGCAATTTCTTGGTATCAGTGTGTGAAATGTAGTATCTCTTTATAGGTTTTGAGGCTCAGTCAGGACCTTTCTCCCAATTAGGCAAGTATATTTGTTCCACTTCAGTGATGTGGCCTTTATTCTGGTCTTTTGTTTCTCCAACTTTCTTGTTTGTGCAAAGATCTACATTTAGTCTAAGACAATGTCTGTTCTGCTATAGTGTGTGACCATTCTGAGACAAAGGTGATACTGCAGAATATTCCATGATGGAGGGACTTTCAAAATCAGGGAGACTTGGAAGATCACAAGGGTTAGTTTGTTGAAGAGAGAACAGGCAACAGGCTCCAATTGATACACAACTTAATTAATATTCCCCCTCATTCATTTCAGTGGTCAAAACATCATGCATGCTTCCTCCATACATTCTACATACATTCCTACATTCTCCTATAATATACTAATAGGTTCCTGAATCCTCTTTTGGTATAAGGGCCTCCCAGGAAGACAGGATTTAGATCCCTACAGATTTGAGGTTTTTCTACTGATTAGGTCATCTAACTGGGATATTCAAAATAGTAGCCCAGAGTGGAAAGCACCAATCCAAGCACACAGGTAGAGGGAAATGTATGACACAAGGGCTGTGGAATTCTACAGTGAAAATCCTACACAATTAGGAAGCAAAACAAGCTTCCAATGCAAGCATAGGCAAGGGTATTCCAAGTCTATGAGATGCATTCTGCGAAATGCATCTATTTCATATTTAGTTTTCAGACTGGAAGTTCGTGTAGGGCTGGGGAAAATTTGTGATCAGCTGCAACAAGCCAAGAAAAGACAATCAAATCGCAAGCCTCAAGAAGTACGTGGCTTGCCACCAACATCTAATAACTCAAGGTTCCTTTTTGACACCTGACTCCATTTTTAGCTAATGAACATGGCTACAAATGGTGGACTTTTACTCACTATTGACTCAGAAGCAGCCCAGAAGGCGTGACTGGGTTATTAAACCAAATTCCATGAACTTGGATTCAGCTATTGCAATAAAGAAATTGAGGCCTGAATATTCTTTTTATTAAACCATATGGAAACTGAGGAATGTTCAATTTCCATTTGGTTCTGAAAGAGTTTTTGTAAAGCCAGGTGATCCCCCCCAAAAAAGAAACCATCCTGGTTTAAGTTGATTTGCTCATACCTTTCCCTTCCCATCTGTACAGCTATGTAGTCTTCATTGTTTCTTTTGTATAATTACATAGGGGTTTTTTGTTATCACCCAACTGATGGAACAGCTCTGGAAGCAGGGCTAAGTAAGAGAGAAATGATGCAGTTAACCTCCATGTGTGAATATTGTAAAGATCATAACTGGAAGTTTAATTTGTGTATAATTGCAAATTTTACTTATTGCTTATTCTCCTTCATGCATTCCACTTGGAATGACAACAGTTGATATTAAAAAAATGGTAGCAGGTATGAGTTATCTTGGGTGCATGGGGAACATGTGTGTGTGTGTATAGGCAAACTGCACTAATTGGCATTGACTGGATATGTATGTTTATTTTACATATTTGTGGCATGACGTCAAAAATTATGTTCCTCTTGTGTTGTGGTATCTTTTCAACTATATAGGTGGGTTGTGCTAGATAGCTACATAAAAGTTCTATAGAGTCAGGAAGGCAATTATAGGAGAAAGGTGGCCAGGTGTGTTAAAACCTCTCTTAAGAGCTACTATTTCTCCTTTGTATTTCACTCTGCAAACTGCCTTTCTCTGCCCTCTCATTTTGGGGTATATATCTCCATTCCAGCTCTGAAATGAAATAAGAGCCGTGGTGGCACAGTGGTTAGAATGCAGTACTGCAGGCTACTTCTGCTGACTGCCGATTGCCAGCAGTTTGGCAGTTCGAGTCTCACCAGGCTCAAGGTTGACTCTGCCTTTCATCCTTATAAGGTTGGTAAAATGAGGACCCAGATTGTTGGGGGTAATATGCTGACTCTGTAAACCGCTTAGGGAGGGCTGTAAGGCACTGTGAAGCGGCATATAAGACTAAGTGCCATTGCTATTTAATGGAGCCGCAGCATTACAATTGCTTGGAGTACCAAGTTCTGGCCCACTGGCTGACATTCATAAAATAAATATTCAGTAGCTGCAAATAAGGCAGTTTTATGGGATGATTCTACATAGTTTGAAGTGATAGAGAAATTGCTTTAGGATATGGCTTTTTCATTTCTGACATTCACTTGGCTCCTCACCATCTGAAGTCTTGCCAGGTCTAAAATATTTATTTGTCTTTCCTGGTGCCACTTAGAAAAAGGTGTTTAAAATATCAGAACAGAATAATAGTCAATATTTTTGAGTTAAGTCTCAACCTTGAGTGAAATGGTGATTTTTTGTGTGTGTGCTTTTGTCCATTTTCTCACAAAATGCATGAAAGGCTGTTTTTTTTTTTTTTTTTACTTTACAGAGCCTGATTTAACTTCTATATTTGCAATACAGTATACCCTTGTGTTTGTGACCCCTACTAAAACCATTAGCTGAATATTAGGCTAATGTAGCCCCAGTTTAACCGTGGGACCCATGTTAGAGAGGGTGTATTTGGGATGCATTTTAATCTAGATTCCTGCACTGAGCAAGGGATTGAACTCAGTGGCCTGAATGGCCTTTTCTAAGTCTAATATTCACAGATAGAATCCTACCAGGTTGATTACTATGCATGTTAGCTCCAGGCATGCTAGTTTTCTGATGCTATGGGATATCCCTTCACATGGTGAATGTCGTACAATATGTGGCCACAGTCTTGGTCTTCCATTTCATTTCAGCTCATCCATTCACTAAGCCTTAGGCTTTTTAGCAGAGCTTTCTCTGAACAGACCACTGTTTCTCAATGTCAACAATTTTAAGATGTGTGGACTTCAACTCCCAGAATTCCCCAACTCCCAGAATTCGCATAGCATAGCATGGCTGGCTGGGGAATTCTGGGAATTGAAATCTACACATCTTAAAGGTTTTCAAGGTTGAAAAACTTGAAAATTTTTCCAACCGTCTTGCTTTTTAAGCCAACTCAGTTTGCCTCTTGGATATGCTGCAGAAACATTCAGCAAAAACCTTTTGAGGGGTCTTTTACTGAATGCAGATCCAAATTCTTTCCCTGCATGGCAGCATGCAATGCTTTTTGCAGCAACTGTATGTCTCTACCTACCACTATAGTCACACTGATAACTCTTCCACGCTTTTGTACATTGCAGTGGCTTGGTTTTCGTTTGACCCCAGCACTGCTCACTCCGACATCATCTTCTCCAATGACAACCTGACAGTTACCTGCAACAGCTATGATGACCGGGTTGTGTTGGGAAAAACTGGCTTCTCCAAGGGGCTCCACTACTGGGAGTTATCCATCGATCGCTATGACAACCACCCGGATCCAGCTTTTGGAGTTGCCCGAATGGATGTTCTCAAGGATGTCATGCTAGGGAAAGATGACAAGGCTTGGGCCATGTATGTGGACAATAACCGAAGCTGGTTCATGCATAACAACTCACATACCAACAGGTACCTGCCTCCAAATTGGTCCACTGTTGTTCTTGTTTTGTGCACTTGAAATCTTTTTAATTAAAATATCTGGGAATGAGGAACTAAATTGTCTTCATAAAAAGCATGCAACAGGAGAGTACATCATCAAACTAAATCATTTTAACCAGACTGAAGTTAACAGCTTTACAGAATCAGAGGGAACTCTGTTTCCTAAACCACTTGTTCCCTCCCGAACTGGGACATTCAAATTGGCATTTATAACATCACCATTTGTTACCTATAGTGGAAATGTTTCGCATCCTTAGAAAGCATGCCAGAAATTCCCCATTCTGAGGTAGAGGACAGAAGAGGAAAGTAGTTTTCAGTTCAAGGATTTTTTAAAGGAAGCCAATATAGGAGATCCAGAATCCATTCCATGTGAAAAGACCTTAACCGGTCTTCCACCTTGGCCGTGAATTTATGCTCAGCCTGTTTTTATTTTCTTGAGCCCAAACTCCACTTGCAATAAAAATGCAACAAAGCACATCTTTCAATTAAAAAAAATTAGGCACTTAGCCAAGCATAAGCTTGCTGGAATAAAATTGTCTTTCCTCCTCTGATGAAAGATAGTTAGATCGGGGGCAACCTAAACTCTGTGAGATAAATATTCTTCAACAACTAAGAATGTTTTATCTCCCCCCGCCCCCCATCCTCTTCCCCCTTGGTGGGTAGATTGTGCCAGGTGATTTTGTAAGTGGGTATATAGATCTTAAATATAAATTCCAGCCAGAATGATCTTCAGCTGATTTAGAGCTTTAAGTATAATCATTAAAATCCTGAATTCAGCCAAAAGCAATGTGTAATAAATCCCAACGAATATTTTACATTCTGGACCAAAAAGAACCTAAAGACTCTTCAAAAACAGGCCTGGGTGGAGGCCATTGTAGACATACAATTTTGATGTAATTAAGGCATACCATAATCAATTCTAACTTGCTCAGGTAGCCACTAGAAGTTCCCAGAACAAGCCAGTGCTGAATCCTGTTCTTGATTCTTCAGCCTATCTACAGTGCAGTCACTAGACCAGAAACCCTGGGTTGCCCATTGAGCATCTAAGTAGATGGCATGGCTCTTTATGGAGAATGTATGTGTTCCTCTGTTAGTGGAACATATACATTCTCCACAAACAGCTGTTCTATCTAAAAGACCAACTTGGATGCCCTTGCAGGACGATTCCTCAAATGTCAACATGCAGCAGTAGTCAAGAACATTGAACTAGGATGGGGAAAGTAGGTTTAAATCTTAATTGAACCATAAATCTCACTGAAAAACTAGAGGCAGTCATTACCTCTAAGTCTGACTTGCTTCTCAGAACTGTTGTGAAAAACAATGTATAGGTATCCATCTAACCCACCTTTAAGTTGGAAGAGGAGAAGTGTCAATTAAATAGATGCTAACTGGCATTTCTTTTCAACAGGACTGAAGGAGGTATCACCAAGGGTGCCACTGTAGGTATCTTGCTTGATTTGACCAGGAGGACCTTGACGTTCTCCATCAATGAAGACCAGCAAGGACCAGTGGCCTTTGAGAATATGGAGGGTATATTCTTTCCTGCTGTCAGTCTCAACCGGAATGTGCAAGTAAGGATGGGATGAGATCTGGCTGATTGAAAAATGCCAGTTGGAAGTTGTGTCTTGGTATGTGCAGTGGCAATGGGGGTAGACAGCAGCTATATGGATGGCAGGAATAAAATGTAGGGCTGAAGTGGCAAAAACTACAGTGAAGCAAAAGTCATGGAATAATCTTCCTCAAAGTGACCACCTTCAACATGTGTAAACTTCAATTCCCAGAATTGGGCAATAGCTACATTGGCTGAAATTTTCAAGAGTAACTCCATATTACTAGAACACACAGTCTGGGGAAGGCTGGCCTAAGCCATAGGTCCAGCAGTGTTGTTTATGATTGTCACTTCCTTTTGGCCATGCTGGCTGAGAGTGAGGGAGGTAGAGCTCAACAATCAGTCTACTATCCCTGCTTATAATATGCCAAGACAGCTCCAAATTTAAAGGAGACAGTATTCTCTGGTTCTCTTCCCCAGGGTGACAAGGCATGCAAGAATGGATAGTGGTGAGTTTATTATGAACAGTGCTACCAACTGCATCTACCTGATACTCTTCCACAGTATATCTTTATTGCAAGCCACCTAATATCACATAAAAGTGAGATGGGAGGCTATAAATTGAGTGAGGATTTAAATAATTAAATAATTATCTGAGAGGTATTATATTAGGGGCAATTTAGAAAACTGAATTGACGTAATATCTGTCTGCCTTGTGGCCAAAGACTTAAGCTGAAAAAGTTAAATTTTGGAAACTAGAAAAGAACATGGATAGCTCAGGATTGAACCATGGGTTCTTGGTGCTCCTTGAACTTGTTGACATTTGCTTGTCAACATTTCATTACCCAACTAGGTGAAATGTCAGCAAGAAAATAACCAAGTTCAGAAAACACCAAGAAATCTAAATATTGGAAATTTGAAGACAAATTTCAGTTGTGGGATTTATTGACAACGCTGAACTCTCAGTCTGTGTAATCTGATGTTCAGAATCAATTTTTCTATCTTTTAGAGTTGTGGCAAAAAATGTTCTAAGTTAGAAAAATAACATTAGTAAAGGGAGGAGATCACCTTAACTTTGCTTTTTGACAGTCATCATTCATTTTGCAGGAAAGGGTAATTGTATGTGGGAATGTCCTTAAGAGACAGGGTCTCATAAATGAAATCTGAGTCCAAAGGAGGACAGGTGGCATAACAGTCTCAGAAAGGATCCTTCCTCGTTCTCATGGAAGTAAATGTGAGGGGGGCAGAGATACACTTTCAGACTTACAAGATTCTGTTAATGTAACCTCACAATAAAGTTAGAGCTAGTACTCCTGGTTGTGCTTCTTGTCGGGACTACTTCATAAGGATAACATTAATTTTGCAAGTCTGAAAGTATCTCTCCCATCCTTCACTTTTACTCTCCTGAAAACTAGTGAGGGTCCTTTCTGGGACACTTTTGCCACTTCTCCTTTGGACTAAATTTTATCAGACCATTGTGTTGGCTGCAGCTGTTCCTCCTGTCTCCCATCGTCTTTCCCACATACCTTTACACAAAAACACTTACCAACCATGAACAGGAAGCCATTGGTTTTTTTCCACACTGGTCTTGGAAGCCATTAAATCTTGTAGATCATTAAACTTCGATGGAGCATTCTGGGGATGGGAAGGAAGAATGAGAAAATGAATCTCCCAATGGATTAATTTATTTTCATTTATTAAGATTATTTACATAGATTGTTATTCTTATAAATTCTTCTCAGAACAATGCTTTTGCAACTCTCCCACCCAAATTCAACTCAAAACAGTGTTCTATGATAATATAGGTCAGGAACAGTGGGGGCTTTCAAAAATATTTCCTACCAGTTTGGAAAGACACAGAGCTCAGGGACTGCTCTCTGTGTCAATGCTGGTGAGATGTGCTGTTTTTTAGCTCAGCTGAGGCATGAATCAGCTAAAAAGCAAGGGAATATAGGAGAGGTAAGAGTGAGGGTGGGTGGGCCAGAGGTGGTATTTGCTGGTTCTCCAAACCAGTCAAAATTTCCACTACTGGTATACCAGAACCGGTCCAAACCAGCTGAATACCATCTCCAGTCAGGAAGCTTGGAGGAGTAGGGTGTAAGAGAGCAAGGAGCTCCATGCTCCAAATGTTAAATTTACTCTGGACCAAAACAGTCTCCAACCCTACAAATCCCATCTCTTTTTCCATTTTATTCCCTAAGGCACCATTCAGTTTAAGATTACTTTTTGCTTTTCTGTGGGATTAAAAAAAACTCTCTACAGTTGTAACTATGGATAATCCAGTAAAGGACTCACTTTAAAAATATGATCTTGGTCTAGCCAAAGTTGGGAAGGATAAGAAAAATTTAAGCATTTGTTTAGCTTCACAATCCCTGGGGAATTAAAGTGTCTTAGTTGTTTACATTTTGGTGTACAATTTAATATCTTCCCATTTAGCTATTATTCTTGTACCAAATCATTATCAATTTGTTGTATATTTGGGAGAATAGGTGTGTTTTTATGGATTTGTACACTGAGAGTTGGTTCTACAACCATGGAAAAGCAAAATCTAGCTGATCAAAAGTTGATCTAAAATGCTATCCAGGTTGCACACTGTCCAATCCGTCCTTGGTTTCAGGTAACACTTCACACTGGCCTGCCGGTTCCGGACTTCTACAATGCACGGGGATCCCTGCAGTAGAGCCGCCCTCATGCCTTTTTCTCAGGACACATCAAGAGAGCTGCACTGACCTTCTTCAAGAATTGACCTCACAGGAGCAAGAAGGAGAATATCTGGTCATCTGGCAACTCCAGAGCAGCAAAAACCATTTTTTTAAAAAAAAACACAAAAAAAGCAGAGGGGCAGAAACTAAAGAAAATTAAGGACAACCAGACTGTGCACCTCAATAAGGTGCAGCAATTGACCTCCCCACACCCATCCCTTAGTTTCTCTAACCCCACATGCTGTGCGTGAGTTAGCTTTGCTATTTTTGCTTTTGGGTTGATCACAAAATTCCCGAACAATCTGAGGTGTAACTCTTATTTCCAGTTTGGTTTTATACCTTGCTAAAGGGTTTTTCCTTGTCCTTGAATGCAAATCAGATGTCATGACATAGCAGGTGTGATTGAACCACTTTGACTCCCAGAGAAGAGATGGTTATATTCATATTGCTGTAGATTAAGTTCAAAAATGGCACGCCAAACATTTCTGCGAGCTGAATGGCTTGCAAGAATTGCTTTCTCTGAGTCCATCTAACTTTATCTCCACCTTCTCCTCCTTTGCGGTCTTTCTCAATGAAGAGTATCATCAGAAAGTATTGGACTTGGATTGCCATGTAGTTGGTGTTTGTAAGGACAAATAATAATAATACCACAATGGAAGCTCCACCCTTGCCGTATTTGCATGCAATGTTGTGATGCAGGTATGAAAGGGTGGAGTTTATATTGTGACACCACAGCACATATCTTGTATTGGCATCATCCTGGCTAGTTATGGAAGTCTACGTGTGTCTCCAAATATCACAAAATCCTTCGGAGACCATCGCATAAGCAGATGTCATCAAACATAGTAGCCACAGGATCCCAGAATTAAATAAGAAATTGATTTTTTAAAAATGGCCCAAATCTCACATGATTGCCAGATCTGAGACTAATTTGGAGCAGGATTGCCCAAATTTATGGGGCTCTTTTACATTTTTATTGTCTCCTTTAAAAAATAACTTTATATTGGTACTCATGACAGGGATGCCTTGTGTCTTCTTATGGACTATCACTACTCCTGAGATTAAAGATTGAGAATCTATATACAAAGCCATGCAGAATTAATAGTTTTTAAAAGTCAGTGTTTTATTTTTCCAGTGAAAGCAAACAGAAAGATGATCATACAATTTCCACATAAATGGTAGGCAAGCACTTGTGCTGGAACAAAGAGAGCTCACAACTTCCACACATTTACTAAAGGAATTCATTCTTCATTTTTAATTCACGGACCACTTTTTCAATCAGAACAATAGCCACTGCAGATCATCATCAATGCAGAAAATGGGAAACTATCAGTTTTATTTTTTGAACAACAGCAGGAACCTCTGGGGTACATGCACTGAGGCTGCCATGTTTGTTCCTTAGGATAGCAACAACAATAGCAAGAACATTAGAGTTACATCAAATTTTTCTCTTGGATCTCAAGCTAGCTTCCATAGGAATTCTTCCCTCACTTTATTTCCCACAAATCATAAAAGACAGGTTGAGCTGGGTAAGTGGAAGATAAATGCAAAGTTGGCTGTAAATTGAAACCATGATTGGTTTACCCTAAGTCGACCTTCTGAGATGGGAACTCTATCAGATACTCTTGATTCTCTTTTGTTCAAATAATCTAGTGCAGATTTTTTTAATTTTAACTTCCAGTCTTGAGAGTGTGTTGAAATCAAAGGGAATCTAAACAATGTAGGATTCTTAGTTTGTATCAGTTTTGTCATATGAAACAGGTCCAAAGCCAGAGTTTCCTATATCATCATCATCATCATCATCATCACCACCACCACCACCACCACCACCACCACCACCACAAAGTAATGGAGACAAATGCAATAAACCCAAGCTATGTTGCAGAATCAACATCCTGCTAGAGAAAACAAGTGGGTGTCATTCACAGATAGCCATTATCTTCTGCCAAACCATCCGAGATGGTTCTACCTCTCCGTGCCAAGCTAACAGGCAAAACAGATGATTCCGATAAGTTCATCTTACGATTATTGTATCTGAAGAGCCCTATTGAGCCATCAGCCTAACCCAGACCAAATGTTGCCAATCTGCTGTGCTCCGTGATAGTTGGGGAAAAATGCGGCCACATGCGGAAACCACCAGTTTGGAGAACCCTGTCCATGACTCAGACTCCTGAAGAGGCAGCTGGGATTCTGGATGCTGGTTCCTGCTTTGGACTCCTGGGTGGTTTGCAAAGCAACCAACTTGACTTATGGCTTCCTACAGATGTCACTTACTTACCACTTTGGGAAAATACAAGGCAACCATTTTGCTATTGTTATGGTTCTTAAAGGGAATTTCCCTGGTCATATCAACACAGAGCATTATTTCTTGACAATATTTCTAAATAAACTATGGGGATGGGGGAAGTATCTCTTGAGGTGTTTTTTTCTGTTTCTGTAAGCAAACTATTATATGGGTATGACTTTCTCTTGATTGTACACTGGCACTTATCACATGTCTTTTCTCCCAGACATAAATGTGAGCAGTTTGTTAGCCATTTTAGGTACCGGCATTTTTCATAGCTAATAGTGAAAGTGTTGCATCTATAAAAAAAGAAGAAAAAAAGGCATCTGTATCAGACTGAGGACATGTTTGTGGCTAATGTAGGGAAAAGCAAAGATGCCTCCTCTGTGTGTTTTCTTTTCAAGAAATGAACTCTGTCATGGTAACATTTCAAGATTCCTAGCTGTGAAACTAGGCCAATTCATGTTGGGTCATCAAAAGATGCTCCGTGACTTTGTTAATATTCTCTTTTATCTTGATCATTGCTTTATTTCCCTATCCTGGCATTGTTAACATTTTGCAATTGTAATGCTGCAATCCTATATTTCTGCTGGGTTAGAATGAATGGTTTTGCAGTGGCCTATCATTCCAGAAGACCTACCATTATGTCTAGCTACAGCGCAAAATGGGAGAAGTAGTGGTGCACAATGTAAGCGGATATTGGTGCACATTTAATTTATTAGCATGAAAAATTAGTTATGGCCTAGGTACTCGTACAGTTGTATGTATTCTGTGGAACTTTGCTACTTTCTGTGGAAGATCTAGAGGCTTGCTTGGCAATGCCATAAGATAATAGTTTCTTATAAGTTTACATCCAGCAATGAACAAGGTAGCAAAGCAGTAAGTGAATATCAGATAGTAGAAATTGGGAGAGCTTGGAAACAGCTAAGATGCTGTTCCAGCAGGAGACAAAGTGAGCCCTAGTGTTTTGAATGGTCCAGACCTGAGTTCTCCTGAAGCCCCTCAACTTGGAGAGAAGGATCTGAAAAGAGAGGGCCTTTTTGAAACTTAGTAGTTTCCTGGCAGTTAGAAATAGTTAAAATTGTATGGCTTGGTCTAGCTCAAAAAGAGATTGTGCTGCCCATGTAGGCTGTGAGTTTTCGAGATTGTGGTGGATGGTCATTCACAGGTTGGGACTTCCACTGCTTCTAATCTACATGAATGCATGTGGCCCCTTTGGGGGATTCAGATTGGTGCTATTTGAGAGGAAGTCACCTCTGAAAGTTATGCTTATCACTCTCTGCCAATGGATCTTGCTCCCCACTTGAAGGTGACCGATTATTTAGGCTAGTTATGTACATAATACATTTTCCACATTCGTTTGTTGCTGTCATTGTATTTTTTTCCCCCTCCAACTACAGATAGCATGCTGGTCTCCATAGTGTTTGCTTTCAATTTAATGCTCTCTCTCTTTCCCCCCTCTCTCTCCCTCTCCCTCCCTCCCTCTCTCTCTCTCACACACACCAAAGCAAGAAAAAAAAACAGTTGCGTTTAACAATGGCAATAGGTTTTTTTTCTTTACCACTGTATCATATCATTAAATTATTAATGATTTCTTCATTATTTTAATGAGGAGTGGAGATAAGCCAAGAAGAAAAAGATCATGTGTAGCAACGTGACCACCCAAAAAATAAAATAAACACTCTGAAACAAAACAAGAAAAGACATGTCTGTAAATAGGTTGCTGGTTCCCACCAAGGATTCCTTCCCTGTAGAATTCACCTTTCTCTGTGGTGATGGTATTCTTGATTTGTTTGCCTTGTTTATGTTTACCTAATTTATTCAATGGGTGCTATTTTGCATTCATATTGTTAATTTTCTTTGCTGCAAAGGAGTCAGGTTCCAAGATGATACATATCTCCTCATGGTTTTACATTTCTAAAGAGGCTTGGTGGCTGGGCCACTACAGCCCTGTTTTCCACAGACATCTGTTCTGCTTCCTTACAATGTTCTTGATGCTTAGAATAGATTCCTAGTGATGCATAACATGTCATTGGCAATTGTTAGCTCTAAACAGCTGCCTTCCAGGCCCACCGGGGTCCTATGTATTGTTCTAATAAAAAGAATAGGTGGAGAACTACAATTTTCTGCTGCATTTTGGATGTATATTTGAGGAAGTGTGTGTGTATGTGTGTGTGTGGTGTGTGTGTGTGTGGTGTGTGTCTGTGTTCAAATTTGAACCGGAAAGCTACAATAACAGCAATAGCCACAGGGGTTAAAAAGTCAAGACAGTGGCCACAACTGCACAGCCCTTCTCCCTTTTGTACACAGCAGAAAGAGGCGGAGACTAGAATATATATATTTATTACTAGATACTGGTATGGGTAGACATGATATATTACTAGAATAATTTGTTTTCTTAAGTTTTCGCGGGTACTTACATGTATGGTATTCAGCTTTGTTCGGGTATTTTCCCACGTCATTATAGTTGTGCTTTTAAAGTTGTAGCAACGTTTCGGCAGAATCTCATCTGCCATCATCAGGCTTCTGTATTGTGTTCGTCTGTGAGTCAGACTTTCACAGCCATTTCTGTGTTAAATTTGGTGCTAGCCTATGCTGTGCCAGAATGGTTTTTTCTTCATCCCAGTGGTGGGATTCAAATTTTTTTTACTACCAGTTCTGTGGGCGTAGCTTGGTGGGTGTGGCAGGGGAAGG